TTTTTTTAATTTCTGCAACGATCCCCAACAGAGCTGTGGTCATCGACAAAGCGGATACACAACACAGTGGTCAGGGACGAAATGTGTCGTGGAATTGTCACGGTTGGGCGGAATTGAGAGACGCAACATAAGACATGGATTTAGATAGCTTCGAGCCCCGGGAAACATCATCCGGTAATAACCCTACATGCTGTTTGTGGCTAGGTCTCATTATGATCATGTGGGAGTCGCCGGTAAGCTGACTCTTTGTGTCTAGCACTATAGCTTGTTTCTTCTTCTTGCCTCTCCCTCTTGGGGTGCCCTGCCCCTCCTTATATAAGTTGAAGGGGCAGGTTACATGTAGAGTCCATCTCGAACTAAGACTTAAACTATTCTGACTTCTCATCACGGACTTCTCTCCATGGGCTTCTTTAACGTCTTGGGCTTCTTACAATCTGGCTTACAATCTGACTTACGGTCTGGCTTACGATCTGACTTACCATCTGGCTTACTGTCTGGCTTAGTATCTGACTTACCATCTGGCTTACCATCTGGCTTACCGTCTAGCTTAACATCTGTCGGCTTACATGACTGAGTCCGCCGGCTTACATGACTGTGTCCGCCGACTTATATGAATGTGTATGCCGGGTTACATGACTGTGTCTGCCGGGTTACATGACTGTGTCTGTCGGGTTACATGACTGTGTCTGCCGGCTTACATGACGTGTCTGCCAGCTTACACTGCTTAACTGTTCCCGCCGGCTTATAGTTTGCCGGGTCACCAATGAAACGTCAAATCCCAGCCGGGTCATATCTCCGGCCGGGTCACACCGCGGGGTACATCCCCGACAAAATGGGAAAAAGTGCTCTAGGTGGGGTATTTTGGGATGGACCGGGCGTGTCGAAATCCGATATGGTTGAGGTCCGAATGCCCGCAAACCTCCATATGTTTAGTGCCGGTTCATGGGATTTCAGACATTTGCATCGGTCCAGACATATTTGGTGAACGACGTTGGATGGCAAAAGATGTTTGGATAATCCGGTTTAGGCATTTATGAGCGGTTTGGTGGATTGCCTTGGAGCTGCCCTTAGACAACATGTTTGTTGACGATTATGCGATGAAAGAGCATATGTGCATTGCCGGTTTGGGCTCGCCAGAGCTATATCTCGCATGTAGTGGCTCTCCTCTCACGCCTGCACTGCTTCTTGATGGCCGAACCAGTAAGGGACGTGTTGTTGAGCGCCCCCCCCCCCCTTCTTCCGGTTTCGTCGGTTGGTTTTCTTCCCCTTTTTATGTTTTTGTTTTCCTTCAATTTGCGTTGTTTCTTTCTTGGTTTTCTTTTGTTCTCTTTTTCTTCCTTTCTCAATTTTTCCCTTCTCTTTTTTCTTCTTCTTATATTAGTTTATAGAGGGAGTACATGTCTATTTTTTCATAGATATTGTATATTTCTTGTATATAGCAGGAACATTTTCTATATAGTTTAGCATCTTTTAAATACATGGGTAATACTTATCTTTTAAAATATATTTATTGATGTCTAATTTTTTTCTTTCACATTGTAAATTTTTCGTGTACACAACAAATAGTCGTTTATATATGTTTAACATTATTCAAGTACATGACTAATATTGTTTTTGAATATATTTATTAAAGTCGGATTTTTTTCTTACACATTGTATATTTTCCGTATAAACAAGGAATATTCTTTTTAGATATGTTTAAATTTTTTTAACTACAAGATAAAAAAATTGTTTCAAATATATGTTTGGTGTCTACTGCTTTTCATACATATTGTACATTTTTATACATATGAAACATGTTTTATACACATTTAATAATTTTCAAGTACATGTTTTTTTCTTTCTAAAACACATGTTTTTAATATTTTTTGAGTACATGCTAATTGTCTTTCAAATAAGTGTTGAAACATTTTTAAATGATACAAACATTTTTGTTAAACTATATGAACGTTTGAAATTCGTGAAATTTTTCAAGCTAAACTAACCCAAAAAAAACTGCTTTAACCTTTTCCTTAAATTCACAGGTCTTTACGCTGGTTTGAAATTTTGGAATGTATGAATTTTACAATATTTTCGAAAATATGGACAAAAGAAAAAACGAATGTAAAAAACAGAGAAGAAAACAAACTCACCTGGGCCGGCCCATAGCGATGGGGCGAGACATCCTTCCGGGTCTCGTTATAATAAGCTCAAACGGGCGCGGCTATATGGAAAGTCCACTCGGCGCTTGTAGACCCCTCGAGACGCTTCGAGAGACTGCGTGGTGGGGACAGACTCTGCAACCGCCTCTCCTACCCGCCGGTTCCGTCCCAACCTATAAATTTCTTCACAGGCGATCGATCTTGAAGTCTCGCGAACCTCCTCCTCCGTCAAGGTATGCGCACGCCACCGATTACCTCTCCCCCCCATCTCTGTCTGTTCATGTTGTGGGACTGATTTAGATGCATATGTGCGAGTGCGGTTGCCAAATCAGTCAACGCGATTAGATGACAGGCTCGTAGAAACAACATGGAAATATCAGTTGATCCGTGTGGATCGCTGTACCCATGTTCATGATTTTGTTTACATGCTGGTAGATTAAAGAAAAAAAACGAGTTTTGCTGGATTGCTGTCCCGTGATGGTTCATCTAGAGTTGTTGATTAGACTTTTACCGATTAGTGTTGGATCTGCCACTCTAGAATCTTGTTTTGGTTTTAAGTTGAGTCTCATTAGAGTGTTCATCCATCATTGGAGGGAATCTTGTTTTGGTTTTGCTCTTTCTGCTAATTTGGATTGACGTAGTACTGCATCTCTATGTTAGCCTTACAATAGATATGCTGTAGTCAAGCTGGCTTGTTTATTTGAACTGGAAATAGATCGTAACAGTTAGATTATTATCTTCCGATCCCCTTCGATGTACTTTCTCAGTTGCTCTGCTGATGTTATATCTGTCAACTCCAGATTTACTATTATTTGTAAGATTTAGATCATCTCACTTCACTGTTTCATCATTATGTTGATCTCTTCATATACTCCTCTATCAGGTTGGCTTATCTGCTTTGGAATTTCCAGCTATAAGAGCCTGCTTAACCTAAACTGGAATTATGTTAGTGCTTAATATATATGTATAAAACGGGGCGAAAGCCTATCTTAGCAAACTGGAATTAGGTCATATTATTGCCCCGCTGTTTGTCAGATTTACTACTCCCTCCAATCCATAATAAGTGTCGCAGCTTTGAACTAAGGTTGAACTAACCTTAGTTCAAAACTGCGACACCTATTTAGGATCGGAGGGAGTAGTAATCTATCAGAAATTTAGATGATCACGGTGTGTGTTTCTTTCTTTTGTTGATCTGGTCGTGTGTGCCTTCATCTTATCTGAAATTTACTGTCTCGTCACTTTGTTTATCTTGTTCATATACACCTATAACCAGGTTACTTATGTTTTTTTTGTTGCAATTTTGAACTACGCAGATGCAGATCTTTGTTAAGACCCTCACCGGCAAGACCATCACACTTGAGGTAGAGTCCTCTGACACGATCGACAATGTCAAGGCGAAGATCCAGGATAAGGAGGGTATCCCGCCGGACCAGCAGCGTCTCATCTTTGCTGGCAAGCAACTTGAGGACGGACGCACCCTTGCTGATTACAATATCCAGAAGGAATCCACCTTGCACCTGGTACTCCGTCTGCGTGGTGGCATGCAAATCTTTGTGAAGACCCTCACCGGCAAGACCATCACCCTGGAGGTGGAATCTTCGGACACCATTGACAACGTGAAGGCGAAGATCCAGGACAAGGAGGGCATCCCCCCGGACCAGCAGCGCCTGATCTTTGCCGGCAAGCAGCTTGAGGATGGTCGCACCCTTGCGGATTACAACATTCAGAAGGAGTCTACTCTCCACTTGGTGCTCCGCCTTCGTGGTGGCCAGTGAGTTCCTTGCGACCTTGGAAGTTTGATTCGCAAGTCTGTTATGCCTGGTGGCTTCTTCCCTTGTCTCTTCGGTTACTATGTGCAAGTCTATGTCATGTGTCGTTTGTGAAACTCTTTAGTCCTGTGCCTTATGGCAGTGTGATCTCTGTTATGAATTAAGTGAGACCTAAATCTTTTTAATACTAATCTGAATGCTCTTATATCCTGTTATAACACATTTTTGCTCACCGTGAATGTTCAGAACTTAGAACCTGTGGCGTTCCACTGCACTAGTCTGTTGTCTTGGTTGTTTGCTGGTCTTAGTCAAAACAATCTGATATTATACACTTGTGATTTCTTGTACTTTCATAGGTGCAGATTTTCCTGTTCCATCAATTCCAGCTATGTCAAAATCTGTCATTCTGTGATGTCGAAATCTGTCTAGATAACAGACTCTTCCTAAAAGAAGAAGAAAAACCTGCCGCTGCCCGCAGTGCAATATTGTGCACTTTTGCTGTCTAACTAACCAAACTGATCACATCGAAGGCGTACTCACCAGGTGTTTGTATACACTGCGAAGTGCTTGGGATCCAGTGTTCCACGGTAGTCAATCCTCTCGTTATACTGGTCCCTTCAATAGTTGATGAGATGAGAAAATGTTCCAGTGAGTTTTTTTTTGTTCACCATGATTGTTTTATCTCCTTCAATGATTGTTTTGCAGCAGTTTATAACCATGAGTATAGAACACATTAAAAGCTATGGCAACACCAGTTGTTTTTAGCAATGCAATTATTCAAAGTTCCAGTGTCACTACAAAACATGATGGTCAAGAAGCAGCAAAACATTATGGTCAAGAAGCAGCAAAACATTATATGCTGGCAACAAAAACACAATACTGATTAGGGGAAACATTGACAGCTTGATAACGATAGCTAGATGATACAAGTAGAACTTAATTTGGGACAATAATATTAGCTATTGCCACTGATTATTACTCCTCATTGCAATGCTTATACTTTATCATTGCAACGCTTATACTTCCATGGCAGCAGTTCAAGGTAGTGCGCACTTGATTGTCAGCCAGGAAGGAGTGTACCACAACGTTACTAGTTGCATGCGCCATTCTGGCAGCCGGTACCACAGTAATCCTTGCCAAGACCACAAGACCCATGGCTGCAACAATAGTTGTTGGTGCATGGTGCACCATTAGCCTTGTTGCCACACGGCTTGTCTGTGCTGCAAGCGCCGTTTTGGCAGCCAGCACCATAGAACTCCGGTCCTAGGCCACAGTAACCGTATTGGCTGCAGCAGAGGTTGTTGGGGCATAGCTTTGTCTAGGTGGCCACACTTGAGATCAGCCCAGCAAGGACCGCCCTGGCAGCCGTTGCTGCAGTATTCTCTGCCGTAGCCGCAACGACATCCGAGCCACAACAGTGGTTGTTAGGGCACAGTGTGCCATTGGCCTGCGAGCCGCAGATCTTGTTGTCATAGCAGGCGCCGCTCTGGCAGCCGGCGCCAGCGTTGCAGTAGTCGACGCCCAGGCCGCAGTACCCATCCTTGCTGCAGCAGAGGTTGTTGGGGCACTCCACGCCGTCGGCCTGCTTGCCGCAGCGCGTGGGGCAGGACTGCAGCTGGGCGTGGGTGGTCACTGCCGCAAAGGCAAGTGCGAGCGCGCACAGCAAGAGGCCCTTCATCGCTAGGATGTGTGCTTTACTGGATGTGTTGAGGAGGTGTTGATGGAAATGCCAAATGCAAGGCTCCTTTATATAGGAGTCCAAGTCGTTCGGTGGTGAACCAAACCTAGTTAGGCATTGATCCTAGTTTATTCAAATCTCACGATTGTTTTTGACTCATGACTTGGAAATAGGTTGGTATATACGGTGTCAGTGTGTGAACCGTCAAGACGGGCCATGGATTTAACACATGACGTGGAAATCAATTGGTAAATACGGTGTCAGTTTGTGAACGGTCAAGACGAGCCATGGATTAACTCATGACTTGGAAATCTGTTTGTACAACATGTAGGCACGTATGCTCCTACAAGCCGAGGTCCGGCTATCGCATGCATGCATCTGAGTGAGTGTACTAGCATAACATTTACTCTGGCAAGCCGATACGATGTGAAATATCAAGACGGACATCATTCCTGACCGTGAACAAAAACCGAGATGACGAGGACCTAACGGCTGAAGTCTGCACTGCATAAGCATATATTTTTTTTGAAGCGGAGGCAAAAGCTTTGTCTCATCCATTAAATAAGAGAGAATAGAGTCTCTTACAAGCAACCCGATTAGACGACATGGGAATTACTCTTGCAATATTATGGACCCTAGTTTTTTAGCACCGGCGATGATCCAGAGGCTAGCCTCGGTCGCGATGGAGGCAAGCAATATAGTCGGTGGTGCGCTCTTCTGCTTGAACGCACTTGCGTTTTGCTCGTTTCAAATAGTCCATGAGACAAGCATGGTGAGGGATGCCTTGGCTTGCCTAAATGGCGTGGCATTGTCTCAAGTACTTGCCCACCAAGTCTCAACCTAGTCGAACGAGGGCCATACGTTTGTGTCAAGCTCGAGAATGTGATATTTGTCAATGACCAAAGACCATAGCCTTCTGGTGGAGCAGCACTTGTAGAAGAAGTGAGTCCCCCATTCTTGCACCCTCTTGCAAAGAGATTTTTTTTTGAAACTATGATGATTTTTATAGCAAATTCGGAAACTAGACACCCTACTACAGAAAAATCAAAAGTATCACCCAGTCGGCCTCCTGTTGGCCGAAGAGGGACTTTTCGGCCAACCGTAGGCCGAAAGAGGGACTTTTCGGCAACAGGACATTTCGGCCAACCGTTGGCCAAAAAGGACTTTTCGGTCAACACTTGCTCTACTGTTTTAGAAAATTCATATCAATTAGGATTTTTAGTGTTTTAATTTGATTCTTTTTGCATTAGATTAGTAATTTTATGAAGTTTCTGTAGATATCAAGTTTGACTAGATTTGAAAGTTTGAATTTGAATTTTCATGAATTTGCTCAAATTACTAGATTGCCTATAATTTGAGCTAGGAGTATTTTTTAGATGATTCTTTTTGCTACTGGTTCTTTGTGACTTTGTTTATCAGTAGTAATTAGTTGGCGAATTTTATAATTATTTAAAATTAGGTTTTTATGAAAACAGTTTTGTTTTAGTGTTTTATAGGTTTTATGCTATTTCTTTTAATTTTAATTGCTTTAAATTGTTTCCTTTAGTTTTTTGACATATTCTTTTTGTTTCTGTTAAGTTATCAGTAGCTATTTTATTTGTAGTATTTCTTTGTATTTTATTTATTTTATCCTACTAGAAAACTTGTTTTGAGCTTCATGGGAATTTATATTTAAAAGTGCCTTATAAATCCTGTACAACCATTGCCGTTTTATACACGAAAAAGAATACTTTTCCGCAATCTTTTTTCCTCCATTTTTTCCTCCATTTCCTTTCCCGCCATATTTAAAAGTGTCAGACGATGTTATCTACGGTCGTGGACACCATGATGCTCGTTTTATAAGTTGAGAAGTGAAGACGGCGAGAAAGAAGATGGCGAGAAAGAAGATGGTGGGAGAGAATGGCGGGAAAGAAAATGGCGGGAGAGAATGGCGGGAAACAAAATGGCGGGAGAGAGTGACAGGAAATAAAATGGTGGGAGAAAATGGAGGGAGACAATGGCGGCAAATAAAATGACGGGAAAGAAAATGGCAGGAGAAAATGGCGGCAAATAACGACGGGACAAATGGTGGGAGAAAATGGCAGCAAAGAATGGCGGGAGAAAATGGCGGCAAAGAAAATAGCGGGAGAAAATGGAGAGAAAGAACGACGGGAAAGAAAATGGAGGATAAAAGAAATAAAATACAAAAAAAACTACAAATAAAATATCTACTACTAACTTAACAGAAACTAAAAGAATATGTCAAAAAAATAAAGAAAACAATTTAAAGCAATTAAAATTAAAATAAATAGCACAAAACCTATAAAACAGTAAAACATAACTGTTTTCATAAAACCCTAATTTTAAATAATCCTAAAATTCACCAATTAATTACTACTGATAAACAAAGTCACAAAGAACCAGTAGCAAAAAGAATCATCTAAAAAGAATACTCCTAGCTCAAATTATAGGCAATCTAGTGATTTGAGCAAATTCATGAAAATTCAAATTTAAACTTTCAAATCTAGTCAAACTTGATATCTTCAAAAACTTCATAAAATTACTAATCTAATGCAAAAAAATCAAATTAAAACACTAAAAATCCTAATTGATATGAATTTTCTAAAACAACAGAGCAGGTGTTGGCCGAAGAGGGACTCTTTGGCCAGCTGTTGGCCGAAATGTCCTTTTTGGCCAATGGTTGGCCGAAAAGTCCTTTTTGGCCAACGGTTGGCCGAAAAGTCCCTCTTCGGCCAATGGTAGTCTGAAAAGTTCCTCTTCGGCCAACAGGAGGCCGACGGGATGATACTTTTGATTTTTCTGCATTAGGATGTATAGTTTTCGAATTTGCTATAAAAATCATCACAGTTTCAAAAAAAGGGCAAAGATGACAATTTGGCCATCCATGCTTCACCAATCTATCAACAGTCCAAATTCTATCTTGTAGAGCCAACCAAGCAAAGAACTTGATTTTTGAAGGAGCCCAAGCCTTCCAAACCATTCCATCTATGGGTGAGAGAACCATTCATAGAAATTGCGCCTTGTATGCAGATGCCGCTGAGTATTGCCCACTAGCCGTGTGCTTCCATAGGATGCCATCCTCGGTGAGCTCACCGAGTTCAACCTCGTGCAAGAGCATCCAAAGAGTGGAAAACTACGAGATGTGCTCGGCGGAGATATTGTTTGTTGTCTTCTTCAAATGTTCATATCCAAGGCATAAATACCGGATGTTTGTATGCACTGCGAAAACACACATAGTGTGCTCGGGATCCAGTGTTCAACGATAGAAAAGAAAGATATTCCAGTTTGTTTTTGTTCACCATGATCGTTTCCTTCCCGTCATAGTTTTATTGCATTTCTTTCTATTTTTTTCAGCAGTTAATAACCATGAGTATAATAACACATTAATTATTCAATATTCCAGCGTCACACCAAAATATACCAGTCATGAAATAGCAAACTAAAACAAGTGGCAATATATAGTATCACCAGATCATACAATAACATTACACAATGTCAATAAAACATAATACTAGGACAAATGTCGATTATTAGGACAAATGTCGACAGCTTGACATACTTAGCTGGTACAAGTAAAACTTAATTCGGGACAATAATATTAGCTATTGCCACTGATTATTACTCCTCGTTGCGATGCTTATACTTCCTCGTTGCAACACTTATACTTCCATGGCAACAATTCAAGGGTAGCACGCACTTGAGTATGCAACCAGGAAGGAAGGAGTGTACCACATTAATACTAGTTGCATGCGCCGCTCTGGCAGCCGGTACCACAGTAATCCTTGCCAAGCCCACAAGAGCCATACAGGCTGCCACAATAGTTGTTGGTGCATGGTGCACCATTAGCCTTGTTGCCACACGGCTTGTCTGTGCTGCAAGCGCCGTTTTGGCAGCCAGTACCACAGAACTCCGGTCCTAGGCCACAGTAACCGTACTGGCTGCAGCAGAGGTTGTTGGGGCAGAGCTTACCATTGTCCAGATGACCACACTTGAGATCAGCCCAACAAGGACCGTTCTGGCAGCCGTTGCCGCAGTATTATCTGCCGTAGCCGCAGCGACCACCCGAGCCACAACAGTGGTTGTTAGGGCACAGTGTGCCATTGGCCTGCGCGCCGCAGATCTTGTTGTCGTAGCAGGCGCCGCTCTGGCAGCCGGCGCCAGCGCTGCAGTAGTTCACGCCCAGGCCGCAGTACCCATTCTTGCTGCAGCAGAGGTTGTTGGGGCACTCCATGCCGTCCGCCTGCTTGCCGCAGCGCGTAGGGCAGGACTGCAGCTGGGCGTGGGTGGTCCCCGCAGCCAAGGCAAGTGCGAGCGTGCACAGCAAGAGTCCCTTCATTGCGCTAGGATGTTTGCTTTACTGGATGATGTGTTGAGGAGGTGTTGATGGAAATGCCAAATGCAAGGCTCCTTTATATAGGAGTCCAAGTCGTTCGGCGCTGTTTTAAAACCAAATCTCACGATTTTTCTTAACTCGTGATCTGGAAATCAATGGTTAAATACGGTGTCAGTTTGTGAACGGTCGAGACGAGCCATGGATTAACTCGTGACTTGGGAATCTGCTTGTACAACATGTATGTACGTGCTCCTACTAGCCGAGGTCCAGTTATCGCATGCATACATCTGAGTGAGTGTACTAGCATAACATTTACTCTGGCAAACCGATACAATGTGTGAAAGATCAAGACGGACGGGCATTCCTGACCGTGAACAACTTACGAGATGGTGAGGATGTGACTCGCTGAAGTCTGCATTGCATAAGCATATATTCAATTTTAAAAAAAATCTTCATACTATAATGCAAATGGACTATCGTGTGTTGGAATTATTAGCACATTTTCGACTAATCTAATCCACGAGTAAATGATAAGCATGGCAAATACGGTATGCATCTCATATCGATACCTAAGTATGTGAGCACGTACAGTACATAGAACCGAAATATCTATGAACAACATATATACGGTCAACACATGAACGAGCAAATAGGGGATGAATGAGTC